GTCTGAAGCTGAGATTCTGGTGGATGCCTCTCCTCTCGGCTGTCCCCAGCAATGGCAGGGAGGCCTGCCTTTCCGACGTCTTCAGGAAGCGGTTTGGGCAGCCAGGCACAGGTGATCTGCACATCACGGGCTTCTGGATGGCTGACTGACGTGCTGGTCTTGCGGAGCAGTGTCCTGGACAGCCGGAATTACCCACAGTGTATGGCAGCGAGGCGATGGGCTAGGCCAGGCACAAACAGGGCTCCTCCCCACCCTACCCCACCGTTCGTCAGGTGACGGACAAGCAGGAAGGAGCGTACAGGCTGCTCCATGGGCGCTTGCAGCTCCGTGGGCATCGGGTCTGTTTGGTACTTTGATTTAGTACAAAGACAGTCCAAGCGAAAAGATCTGGGCAGACTTGAGTCGCTAACAAACATGGCTGTTTTACACAAGAAGCTTCCTAAATGGATAGCTACAGAAGGGGGGAACAGAGAGCGCCACAACCTGTAAAAAAAGCCCCAGACCACCCCCATGGATCAAGTAACGAGGGGTGCTTCGGTTGGCTTTGCTCACAGCCTGCGTTTCTGGCCATGCAGGAGGCCCATCTCCAGAGCAGTGGGTACTGGAGTCTCACGCCTCTGCCTCAGGCGGACTCTTCTTGTGCGTCTGCTGAGACTGTGCTGCCCATGCAGCTCCGAGTCTGACAGAACCTGGGCTTGACCTGTTGTTCATACACCAGAAAACCCCTTTATTATGAGTTTAGATGATGACCTTGTGAGTCTGCGTAACGTGTACACAAACGCTTAGTCTTACACACGCGCTCTCCCTGATGCTTTCGGTTGGCAGCACAGCGTGAGTAGCTCGTTCAAAATCCAGGTGCCAAGGTGAAGAGGAGGGAAGGTCAGCGTTGGTTTATCTGTTACCACTGTCTAACACACGTACACTTTACCATTTACTCACAACCGTAGGAGATGACTTTTGTCTAATCATTGTCACACGTGATCTGATACACGGCTTGCTCAGGAAATACAAGGTTTTGTGGTTAGAGAATGGGGAAGTAGTGCTGGGTAGAAAAGAAAGGATGGTGTTGATGTACAAAGCATTCCGCTAACGTGCCGGAGCATGGGTAGGCACCTTGTGCTGAGTTCGGTCCTTACCTGTTAGTCAGCGTTGCTGCTGGAACTCCACCTGCTGTGTTGGGAGGCTTCTACCCCCCGCCTTTCTCTGCAAGGCTAGAATCCCAACTGAAGACACTTTTTAGGAAGGGTGCAGAGGCAGTCAAGTAGAGAATGTCTTTCTCTGCCTGAAACAAGGAACTGTTGGTCGACTGGTGCGCTGTTCAGCCAGAGAAGTCTGGTTTGGCACTTGGAAAGCTCGCTGTAAAAAGCTTTGCTCTATAAATCGCTGCATGTGCGGGTCGGGTGTGAAGTGAGTTCTGGGGGAGGTGGGAAGCAGTCTGATACTTCAGCTACACGTATTTGCTGTTCAGAGTATTGCTACACAGGTAGCTAATAGTACCTATCGTGTGTGTTGTAGCAGGGGGAGCACAGGGTGTATTTTATTGCACTTCAGGGTGCTGTGCCACTGTCACCCCGTTTTACCCAGCAGGGCAGGATCTCTGCTGGAGCGACGTCACTGTAGATGTTGGGCCGAGTGTACGAAGCAAGACATGCGTTAAGAACCGGTCTGAAGCTGCAGCACAGGGAGCTTCAAACAGATATGAGGACGTTTTTCCTAATGGGGACAGTGAGGTATTCAGCAGGGACACGCAAGGGATTTGGGGGAATTGCCACCCTTAGGTGGATGGACAACAACCGGACGAGACCGTGAGCAACCTGATAGGCTTCACAAGTTGGTCTTGCTTTGCGGAGGGGGGCAGGTGGAAATTGGGACAGCTGTCCCCAGGTCCCTTCCAGCCTGGTTCACTAGTCCAGCATTCCTCCCCATTTACTACAGAGCTGCTAAGCTCAGCAAACGGATCATTTCTGTGCCAACAGATGTTCTTCCTGGCCAATCAAAACAAACACGCCATGGATGAGGAAAGGGGGTGCAGACACTTAGGGTAGACACAGAAGGGACAACCGCTGTCTGCTGCTGGGGGTTACTGGCTGTGGCAAGGCAGCCCCGTGGCTGCTGTGCCATCCTTATGGAGGGGTGCTCCGCTTGGGGAGCGTGTGGCAGCACTGCCTGGGCTTCAGCTTATCCCCGAGAGTCAGGCAGGAGGCGTTGGGTTGTGCCCCTGAAAGGTAGGTGGGGTGTGTATGTACAGAGGCTTAACCTTGGAGGGGTGAAAGGGTGCTACGCTGATACTGGTGTAGCTGCAGGTAAAGAGCCTGGTGTTTGCAATGCAGTTTGCTGTGTCTGGGTCGAGCTGCTGACCCCACACCTCCCCTGCCAGGGCGTCAGGGCAGGCTGCATTCTGTAATGCTGATGGCATGCAGGGCACTCGGTAACCTGACTTGGCTCCGGGAGATGTCACTTAATTTTGGTACTTGGCAAGAAGTCGTGGAGCCTGATCTCAGTGGCTTCTTAGAGAGCCTGATTTTTTTTCTTTATGGTCTGTCTCGGTGTTTTCATCCCCCCACACTGACATGCTGCCGTTGCAAGGGAGGAGAACCAGTGTTCTGTGTTTTGGCTCGGGTTGAGGAACCCAGCTTTCAAAGGCCTTCCTGTCAGCTGCTGAAGCCCAGGCTGCTGCTGTGCTCTGGCACGTCGGGGGGCTTAGCCGGGGCTCGTGGGGCGTGGGCTGAGAGGGTGGGCAAGGCTGGTAACACAGGTGTAGTGTGCAGATTGGGGCTGGTTTGTGGTGGTGTGGTTGTCTCCCCCTCCCAGCTGTAGTGACCCCTGCCTGTTTGCAGTGCAGGAAGGCAGTTCCTGCAGTGTCCTGCTGGCTCTGTTCCCAGCTGCTGCACACCGTCAGCGTGGCGCTGCTGACATGTGCCACAGCAGCCCTGTAAGGGCTTGGGCTGGCTCAGGTCACGGCAAGGCAGGCACCAGCTCAAGGCTCTGTCTCCAGGTAGGCTCCCCAGGTGCCTCTGTTGCCTGGGGTGACATGGGGGGAGGTGCTAACCCTTCCCGGGGCAGACGCCTCCTGTGCTTCTGCACAAGAGGGAAGTGTTTGTTGGCTTTTGGTCACCATTCTCTGCAGGACTGCATTGAGTGGTGATGTCATGTCTGGTTCTGCCTAGGAGAAGAGCATGGAGTGGTGTGTTTTCCCAGGAAGAAGGGCAGGGACCAAGTCCCAGGAAGAGAAGCTGGGTTCTCTTCCAAGTGTGTTTCTTACTTGGTGCTTACTGTTCCTCTTCAACTCCATATTGCTCAGAGTGCGCTCGAGCAGCCCCTGCAGCTTGTGTGGACATTTCCTAGACACGTTTTCCCTCAGGTAACTAGCAGGAGCTGGGGAGCGGGGGAGTTGCTAACCTTGACCAGCATTCTGAGCAGCCAGCACATCTCCAGTACGGCCTCCGTCTTCCATCCGAAGGATGGCTTGGTTGAGGGCAGCCTTCTAGCATGGCTCTGGGGATTGGCTGTCGCTTCTCAAGCTGTAAGAGCAGAATCTCGACAGCGACTTTGAAGAGAAACGAGTTCACACGGATAGACATGTTGGAGACACACACAGGCTGAGAGTCACTTTTACAAGTTTCTTTATGAAATTAAATGTCACCCCTGCTCTGGGGGAAGATTATAGTGCAAGAATGTACATGCTGCTGAATTCGGGTATCCCTGGGTGACCAGACTTCGGTCAGCTACAGCATCGACACGCTTTCTGAGCTCTGCAGACAGTGTTTGCTCACACTAGCCCGAAGCTGGAATGAGCAGGTGTCCTCCTTCCAACGCCACGGGATGTCTCCAAAGCTAGGGAATTCAGTCAGTATGGCTTCTAACTCTCACTGTGGTAAGGCAAATCTTTCCTTTTGCTAACCAAGGTTTAAATGAATTCTTTTTGGACACAGTTTGAAACTGGGGTAGTTAAAGTGAGGCTCTTCATGCCAAATTCAGGCCTTTTCAAAGTGGCTTTCCATTTTTTTAAAGGTGTCAGAAACCTGTAGTAATACCCCTTGAACTGAGGGTCTCTGGGAGTTTGGGTTTAGTCTTGCAGAGTTGAAGTGTAGACTCTGACTTCTGGGAGCTAGCTTTGCAAATACTTGCAAATATTGACTTTTAAAAAAAAAAAAAGGCATCAAGTTAACAACATCTGACAAGAACAATTACAGACTTACAAAATACACAGTTGTGATTTTTTTACCATAAATAAACACATTACAAACAATGAGCATTTTTCATTGGCCAGGAAATACGGCAGAACGATGGAGACGAGAATCTAAGGAGTTGAGTAGGGTGTTAATTAGGCACATTTTTCTCTAACTTACGTAACTCAAACCCACTAGAGGTGGTTGAACGTGACTCATGCTGCAGGTTGTTGGCACAGTTCAGTGTTGGTGTTGAACTCGGGGAAGGAGAGGGTCGCAGCGCAGTACTCACTGTTGTCTGCGTGCCTGCCAAGGCTAACTGCGTGCATTAGGCGGGGGAGGAGGATCACGGCTCTGGGAACCGTGGGCAGAGAGCAGAAGGGCTTGTCCCTCCATGGAAAATGTGTCATGCCACTGCCTCTGAGCTGCTGTTGGGGGCACGAGGGCAGGCAGGGGTATCGACCGCCATCCCTCTGACCGCAGTAGTGTTCCCAGTGGGACGGGAGAGTCAAGGACAGCCGGCAAGCAGGATCTTATCCGATGGAACATGTGGGGCTCCCTCTTATGATCTCTTTTGGACACTTGCCTCCAGGGTGCTGTGCAAGGCTGGCTCCACGGGACTGGCACAAACGCACGCGTGTGTGCGAGCACACACAGTGTCTCACCTCAGAGCCAGTGCGGTCAGTCGGGCTGCAAAATAAATAGGGAAGGCAGGAGCGCACGTGCCATCCTCTGTAAACAAAGGATTGGAAGAACCTGGGCTCTACCTCCCAGGACTGACGGATAAAGTGCTTTGTCAGAAGGGGTTCAGGCACAAACACGGAGCTGCCCTTATTTCCGGAAGGGTGTCAGCCTGCTGATGTTCTGCCAGAAGTTCGAGGGCTTGCGCTTGGGCTCTGCCAGCATGAAGACTTGCTGCTGGGGGAGCGTAGTGGGCAGGGTGGGATGCTTCTGGCGCATCAGAAAGTCGTAGTAGGGCCGGGTGACAGCTGTGATGAGGAGATGGGTAGCAGTTAGAGCACAGGCCCCTTCCCCACCCCCTGCCCAGTCCCTGTTAAAGCTGCAGGAGCGGGGACTGGGTTTGTATTGCCCTTGGCTTCAGCACTGCTTTTTAGGTTGGTGCTGTGGAATTCGAGAAATGTGAAGCGTTAACTGACAGGCGTGCTGTCCCCACGACAGCAGGGCTAAGTAGCTGTAGCTCATCATTACTGACAAACTTCCTGGGGCCTCTGGGAGAAGCAGCTGATGCGTATGGGCCTCTGTTGCTGGCAGGGCTGGCTTGGGGGGTCTCCTCTACTGCTCTGCCCCTGGGGCTTTGCTCTGTTAGAGGTCTGGCCTCCTTCCAGACTTCCCGCTATAGCCAAGTCTTACCTCTGACTTACTTGGCAACGTAGCCAAGCTTTCTTAGTGAGCCTTGGCTAGGACGTAACTGCTGGCTGGAACCAGCCAGAGGGGGTGGTTGCCTCACCCTGGGTCCAGAGGAAAGAAGTGACATCTCTCCCTCTGGATACAAAGAGGGATGGTGGCATCACCAAGTGGACTAGCAGGAATCTTGAGCTGACAGTGCTGGTGCAGAGGAACCTTCCTTTCTATTGCTCGAGTTCACACTCCCCTGGCTGCTGCTAAACCTTCCTTGTCCCTTAAAGGTTTAAAGAGGAGCTCTGGCAATGAGCATGGTGTCTACCCGGGGCGTCCTGCCAACATGGCAGGGTTCACAGCATTTTCCACAGGCACAGCTGTCCAGGCAGGAAGAGTGCCGGCTGCAGTGACCTTCATGACCCTGTCTGCATCACGGGATTACTACAGAACTTAACCTTGCTTTTTCACAGAGGGAATGCCATACTGCTTGGTGAGGCTGTGAACCAGAAGCTGTGGTTTCTGGCACAGCGCTTGGCTTTGAGGGGCAGAGCAGCTCTCCTGGCATTAGGAATTGTTTCCTGACTCCAGCTGCCTGAGTCTACCAGGAACTATACCGCAGACTGTCACACAGCTCACCCTCTGGCCTTCTAAAGAGTTTGCTAATGCCACTTCTTCGAACCCGTTGCCATACTGTAAATACAGAGCAGCCTGAGCCCTAGCAGCAGTGACGGTACAGGCGCGACTCACCCTTGGGCTTCCCAGCGTGGTGCTGCTTGCTGGCGTTCAGCATGGCCTGCCGCTTCTGCACCTCTGTGATTGAGAAACCTGGAAGGTAACACAGCGGTGGTCAGGGAAAGGGGGAGGGGAGAGGAAGGGAAGGGAAAGGAAAGGAAGGGAATCCATACCAGTCTCCTGGTCGACCTGAACCTGTCTCCTTTCATTCTCAAATGCCTTCAGCCAGCGCTGCTTCTGCTCTGGCTTTTTTGCACAGAACAAGTGCACTTCCTCAGAGTCACGGCAGTGCAACTTAAATGCGTTTTTCACGCTGATATTAAAGTCCTTGTCCTTCCCATCTTCTACATCCACTATTTCCATATCATCCATGGTGATCCGACTCTTATAATACAAGATGTCCCGGCGCAGAAGGTCCTGTAAGAGAGTTGAGGTTCATACACAATGTTCCTGTCTCCTGTCCTGTCCCTTCCGTGGAGATCCATGTTCTTTGCTACGATGGAGTATTTACTATTCCTGTCCGTAATTGCAGCCGTGTTGTAAAGAAATGGTACTGGATTTGAATCGACGGCGTGCTCAGCTCCTGCTGACACCCTTGGCAGTGAGGGAATGACACTGTTTCCCTCAGTGAGGGGGTCAGGGTAGGCTGGCATCTACTGTTGTGGGACAGAGCTGCCCTGAAGAGCTCTGAATGAGAAGCAAGTTTCTGTAATTACACATGATTCCAAATCCTCATTAAGCCTGTGTTGGAAAACAGTATTTGCTTCCTACAGTCCCAGTCAGAAAACCAAGAAAATCCTAATTAGCTTTTGGGTTTTGTGTTGACAAGGAGAAGTAAATTTGAGAGCGCTGGTAAAATAGTGAGAGTCTCGTGCCTGAGTTCCCTGAAGCTACCTGTATGCCATGGATTATGCATTAAAAAACAGGCGTATTTGGTTCTGATGGAGAACACCTCTTTCTTGCTCTACAAAGGAAGATTTATTATGTAAGTTATGAAGAAGAGCATGGAGTGTACTCCCAGGCAGAGATAGGATGTTCATATGGTTTTGTTGACTGTCAAGGCCCACAGCTCTTCATCAAAGCTGCTGGTACCTTCTGGATGTGATAGTAATCTCGTGTGGAAGCGCAGTTGAAAAACAAAAGACAGTGGGTGACCGTGCACATACTTGAGATGTGTAAAGTAAACCCCTACCCGAACCGCGGAGGGGGCGTGATGCTTTCCTGTCTTGTACTAAGACTTAGGCCACTGGTGAGCTCCTGTAGCTTACGGCTGTGGCCAGGTGCACAGAGCACACCAGGACAGCAAAGTCTGCAGCGCATGCACATCAAAATCTCTGTGCCAGAAGCACACGTGGTGCCACACTGCACATAGTGGGTATTAAGGAAACAAAGGGGTAGAGAGGGGGTTCACTAAAATGCTTTAGCATTGCAGTAGATACAGAACTTGGGCCTCGCTGGTGAGGTTACCTTCTTGCAGCAGACGAGCTGGTGATCAAAGAGGAAGAACATCCTCTGTTGGCTCTTGGCTTGAGGGTGGGAGATTTTGGTTAATTCCCCAGAGTAGATGAGCTCTGAGCTTCTGACAAGGACATCTTCACCCTGAGAACAGCACAAAGAACAGGTTGGTCTCAGCCATCTGGAAATGGGAGAAGAAATAAACCTGGAGCCTCCTAGGAGAACCTCAGTGTGGCTGTGGGTTCCTGCGGATGAAACTCTCTTCTGGGAATAAGGGAGCTTCTGTGCTGGAGGATGGTCCTCCTCAGGTCATGGAGACACTGTGCTCGGTGAATGGGAACCCACTCGGATAAGAACAACAGTGTGTTAAATGGAAAACTCTCCTTTCCCAAGGAATCTGCTCAGGGCAGCTGAGCTGTCCCTGACATTAGAGGCAGCACATGAGCAGCGAGCTGAGAATTTAGCCTGATGTCCTTGGGATGGAAGACTGTCTCGTTTTATTGAGTCTAAGATTTAGAAAACTAGTAGTTTTGTTTCTTTAATTTAGCCATTTTTTTAAATGAGTCTACAGGGAGCCTCGGTTTCCTCTGTCACTCTGTCAGAGCCTGCCTTTCTGCAAGCATAACGTGACTTATTAAGGGGCAATTCTTGTCTGGAGAGTTTGAAATTACTTGATTAAGGAAGGGGTAGAGAGGAAAATAATAGGATTTTGCTAACCTACACGCTAATTTTATTCTGCAAGGAAAACAGGGAAGGAAAAATCCCAGGGAACATGCAAAGGCAGCTGGCCTAGCTAGGTTACATGCTACACCTTGTCACTTGTTCTAAAGGGTCACATCTGTTTAAATAAAAAACCGTCGCACACAGAGGGGCAGCACAGAACATTCAGTTCAGGGGGAAAGTTAATCTCTTACCTCCCAGTCTTCTATCGAGCTCTGCCACTGAGCAATTTTGTCAATGTTTTCCAGCCGCCGCTTCCTCTCGTTGATGAGCCGAGCAACGTTCTTCATGGCATTTAAGGCAGCTTCGACATCCTTAAAATCCCTAGGGTAGGGCAGAGGTGCTTGGCATGACAAAACGACACATGCCTACTGTACCTACCCCGTGCTAGGAGTGCAGCCTGGCGTGGCCTACGGCTGGAGAGCAGAACGCACGAGTTCCATGCGCAGCTCTATCCCAGCTGGCTTACAGTGGAGTCAGGTGCCTGTTTCTGCAGGTAGCTTCTCAGATGGGTGCTGCTTCTGAGGCACAGGTGAGAGTCTTTTAACAACTCCCAGCCCAGTTTGGGGGAGGGGGTAAGCAATCACATGCAGCCACAGAGGTGTTAGTGTGAGTTGCTGGAAGAACCTCCAGGGCTTGCCAAGCCTTGGGGTTTTTCCACAGATAATAGAATAGAATCATAATGCCGCTGTTTTCATACAGGGACTGATACACAGCAGTAACTGGCTTCGTTTCCAATAGGAGCCAGTGGTTTATCTGGGAGGGTAGGACAGAAGCTGACCTGCCCTCTCCCACACACCATCTGCTGCCACCAGCTACCTGTGCTGGGTTTACAGGGGCGGGGAGGGAGCTGCTACACAACTTGTCTCCAGTGCAATTTTCACACATCTGTGCAGCGCAATAAGGAGCTCCCTGTTAAGAGGGCAGCTGCAGAACAACGTGCTCATAGGTTTAACAGACATGCTTAAAACCGTTCTGAGAAATACCAGTGCTGTGACTAGGAAGGTGAAATTAAGCCACAATGGACCAATATCAACGCTTGCCTTTAATACAGACTTTCCATGTTTTATTACTGTAGCTAATTGTTTCAGAGGCTGAAGTGACACAGTTATATAAGCAGGGCGGTGCCTTCACCCTGAAGCTGAGCAAGGGATTCGGAGGCTTTGGAGCTAGTGCTGAACAGGCACCCAGTGTGTGTGGCGTGACTGCTGTAGGCCACGACTTCCCACAGGGGAAGCACTGGGCAAAATTCCCGCCTGCCCTCAGCCCTGACACGTTACGGTGTAGTTACACGGGCACTTGGGGGTTTATTCAGCCAGTGCTTTTGGAGGCAGAGTTTCCGCCACCACGTAACTCCAAAGTGTCTATGTGCTGGTATCACACAGGTGGCCAAGTGAAACAGAAAAGTGCAAGGTCCACCTTCTAATGGCAACTCCAGATCTGTGTCAGACAGGAAGGCCCAGTGCTAATGCAGTGGAAAATGATGTGTTTGATACAGAATTACTGTGCTGGCTTCTACAAGGTAGCAGAAGACTCATGGTATCGGCTGCCCTTGGCAAGCTGCCCTCAATACCCCATCCTGCACCACTCCATTTCCATGAGACCAGTCTCGCTCCCTCCCTCCCCACCATGCTGACCTACCTGTGTTGGGGGTTGGTGTATTTGAGCAGTTCGGCCAGTTGCAGTGGGTATTTGCAGATTTTCTGCACGGGCGTCAGCAGAAACCCATCCAGGGAGATGTCGATCATCTTCTGCAGCAGGCGGCAGGCTTCGAAGAAGTAGACGTACTTGTTCACCTTGGCGAGGCGGGACAGCTCCATGCAGGCGTTGGGGTGGTTGTTGCAGTATTCGGAGTATATCTGAAACTCCGTTTGCTGCAAGGAAGACGAAGAGATCGACCGTCACGTTCCTCAGGGGGATGGCCTGGCTCAAACTGCTGCGCACAAGCTCCCTGTGTAGGCCCTGCTCCTGCGTCACATGCGGCTGCTGGGTAATTTGTATCCTGCCCAGAGGCTGAAGTGAGGGTGGGCAGGGTGCAGTGCAAGTTACAGCACGTGCAGTTTATCCGAGAGACCGGGATGGTTCCCTGTATTCTGGTCTGTGCTCTGCTGAGCGTTGCTGATGACCGAATCAGCCGCAGCTGATCCTGCACTGACCTGAAAACACTGTGGCTGTCAACTGGGGTCCAGCTCTGCCATCTCCCAGTGTTTGTGCCTGAACGGTCTGGCGGGGGACGTAGCACTCAGAAGCTGAGGTGCTTCGAACGTGTTCCTTCCCCAGCCACGGGCTAGAGGATGCTTCGCTGGGACGTGGCTAGTGGTTGAACTGGGCAGAGGGATGGGGTGGTGGCAGTTAATTTGGTAGGGTGGGGTGTTGTAAGCAGAGTTTCAGTTCTGTCAGATCAGTTTCTAAATCTTCTGGCTTAATCCATGCTCAGCTACCCCCTTCCCATGAAGTCAAATTTACTTACATATTCCAAGAAGCATGAGCCAACCTCACTCAAATGTGGGTGGTCTTTGTTGAACTTCTTCTCTAGTGCTTTAACAAATTTTTTCTGGCACCTGTAGATGTCCTCAATATTCCCAAAGATTGTCTTCAGCTGTTCCTCTGTAAACATGTCGGCTCTTTTGCGGCACTGCTTGATGTAACCCTAGGAGGAAACCAGATGGGAAAGCTTCCTGCATGTTTGCCTTGGGCTGTCAGCAGAAAACCCCAGGCATGGCAGGCAGTTGTACACCGGGCTCCAGTACCCCCTTCCCGCATAGGTGTGTCCGCGTTTCAGCTATTTCCTCTAACACCACCCCAGACATGGTAGAAACAGAAACAGTCACATCACTGCCTTAAGGGATACTGTAATCCACACCTGAAGGAGTCCCAGAGCTGCTTTCTCTCCTGCCAAACCCACCTTTGTCTGTCTGCAGGCTGGGGGGGTGTTCTGACCCCAGCACTGGCCCACCGGTAGATTCAGGCCAGTTAAATCCAGTGGCGGCTCTGGTTTGGATGCTGGTGTTAGGAAATGCCTGGCTGACTCACGGGAGGAGCAGTGCTCAAAGGATACGGGGACGCTGCTGGAGCAAAGGCTTGTTGGTAAGCGTGTGCTGCTTTGCCCCAGCTGGCACTGCTGGAAGGCCCTGCGTTTTTGTGTCACTTCAGCAAAGAACTGTGTTCCTGCGAAACTCTTCCCAATTACCTTCATTTACCCCAGCATAGAGGACAGCAGGTCTCTTCAGAAGAGGTGTCACAGTACTTAGCATATTTGCAACTGAAAGACCTAATTGGCTGAACATCCCCCAGTTGTTTTGATCTGAGCAGGACCTCCCTGAAGGCTGGAGTTAATTATATTACCTCAGAATACACATTAACGAGGACAGCAGTGCTAGACAGGTACTCTTCTCTGGCTTGGGAAATTCAGTTAATTTTATTTAATCAGAGCCAAGTGCCTGCTCCACACACAGGCGTTTGGGGGTTATTGCTGTGAAGAACTGCCTTGTTTCCTGCGCATGCAGAGCAGGCTCTGACGGAAACAGTCTCATTTTCAGAAAAGAAACGTTACCTGCTTAGGGTCACTCTCTGGGCAAGCATGGGACGTATGCTGTTATCCTGCAAACAAGGTCTTACGTTCACTTCCCCTTCGTTCCCTTACCTCACAGATGTCCTTCAGGTGCTTGATGTAATCTCTCTCTGTGCTTATGATCTCGTTGATGACGTTGGTCCGCATTTGGTCTTTGCTGGTCTGCCCCATCCCAAAGCGGCGGGTGCCACTGCTCGAGTCGTCGTCTTTGTCGCCCTCTGCCTTCAGGGGGTAGTCTTCCATGGGTTCATCCTGGTTTACTCGCAGCTGCACCAGACACACAAGATGCTCACCATTCGTACGGCTCAACAGCTCTCCCAGGGGAAGGAAGTTTGGGCGGCTGACTGAACAGTGGGCAAAGACTGAGCCAGGATCAGGAGTGCAGAGGGCTGCTGCCTGTGTATTACCTGTGCACATATTTTCCCCCTGGGGAAGCTAAGGCCAGAGAGTCACTTTTGGGGGGCTGCTTTCAAGCCACATGACAGCTGCTCCCACTGTGTGATGTGGGTGGGTTTAGGCAGGCATCTCTTGTGGACAGAAGTCACAGGAATGACACAGGGTCCTCCGGGAAGAATATATACAAAATCAGGACAAAAACGGTTTATCAACTGAAATCTGCCTAGGTACTTGTGAGGGGGTGCCTAGGGAGGGAGGGGGAAACCAGCAAATAGTTGCTTTTTTGTACAGCTCTATTGTTGTTGTCATACTATAAATAACAGATGGCCTCTCAGTATCTGCTCCCCCGAGCTGATTGAAAGAGAATTCGTTGTTAATATAAAAGCAGATGCAGATACCAGTGGGCATAGGATGTGGTAAGGAATGGCATGACACTACAGGGCTGCGTGAAACCCATTGATCCTTCGTAGTGCCCGTCAGATGGCAGCACCGCACGAGCGGAGGAGAAGCCAGCGTTCTGCAGGCACACCCTCCCACAGTCTGTACTGCACCCCCTCCTGCCGCCTGTATCGTCAGCAGCAGCAGAGTACCTGAGCTAACAGCAGGCGATGGGTGCACTTCGCCCAGGACCTTTTTCTTATGTAGTAGCTCTCAGGGTGCCCATGGGAATATTTTGTGCACAACTCAAATGATCAGCTCCAGCAGAGAAGCACCACAAAACGCTGAAGTAGGAACATGGATAACTATTGGCTTTTGTAGTAGAATGTCACAGAGCCGCTTCAGACTTTCTGTGTAGTTTCTTCTAGGCAGCATTACTTACCCCTGGATACATCTACATATAAAACACAGTGCATACCCATCCCTTCCCTTGTCAGCATAGATGATGTTTACTCACTGGTTACAGCTGGTGAAGCCTCAAGATGTGCAATGCTGGTTTTCCTTCACTGTGAGCAGAACACCACTGGCTAATCTTAAACTCGGACCTTGGCCCGAAGCTTGTGTGGTGTAACTGAGCGACCTGCAGATTTATCCAAGTCCCCAGACATACCAGCCTTCCCAGCAGTAAGCTGGAGG